CCAATTGTATATATACCTACAAAAAAAATTTCCTACATCCGAAAAAATTACAATTAAAAGCTATACATATCATCACATGGTTAAATGTAAAGAGAAACGACATATGGTAAGTAATGAAATGTAAGAATGTATGATTATCTTATACTTGTCATTCCTTTAAAATCTCATATGCACACAACTTCGTACTACACCTGTATTGCATAAGCACATATTAATATTACATCTTTTATATCACATGAATGNGGGTTTGAGTCTCAATTTATTATGACCTAACATGTCTTTATATTGGTAAGATATTGGGTTTGAGTCCCAATGTACCATATTTATGATATAATGATGACTAAAGAAAAATAATATATTTTTCATGAAAAGGCATGAAAATTGTCCCACTGGATTTGCTACATTCTTGAAGTAAATGTGATAGCAGTGCATAATAAATCTAAATGAAGACAAGTGGTTGAACAATGAACGAGAGCGTTCCAAATAATAATAATCATCACAATGATTATAAAAGGAGAACAACAAGGGTTCTCAAAATAGTCCTTCAAAATGTGAAGGCAATGTTTATCATCAAATTGGTATGAAGCACATCGCTGATTATGATCCATTCCTTGAAGAGAATGTGACTTGTGATAAGCATTGAGAATGCAGACCCATTCCTAAAGGTGAATGTGGTAATATGTGATAAAAGTAATGAATAAAGACATACAAGACATGATTGGATGAGTACCACACAACTCACCTTTGAGGGAGGTTTGAATAAAATAAAGAGAACAAATGTTATTGTGTGGTTAAATGAATATGTCATTGGTCTCGTACATGTGATACGCCAAAATATTTTGGCATACCTTATAAAAATTATTAAAGGCAAAATTAAAGCAAGAAATAATTTTGCTTATGATAATTTTGACCATGACAATTTATTATGATATAAGTTTCTCCGTGAAGGAGACATTTACCATATGAATGGTATGATAAAAGATCTTGTAGTACAAAAGTTGTTAAGAGCTCCGAAAAAACTAATTTGTTACTACCCAGATGAATAATATTATTTATGACATTGATATTGTAAAGTCTCAAAAGAAACTTTTTGAATTTCAAATGTATAAGTCAAAGTGGTTGTCAAATTGAGACTATAAATGAAATGAAGATTGACTATCTTCATATTTCTATAATCATACCGGGTAAATATAAAAGGTTATCCGATTTTCTTCCTATTTGTACTATACAAATATAAGCATGATGATGGAATCATATGCCACAAGTAAACTAGAGGTTTACTAAAACAAATATTAATTGGCATGACCGGTTGACCATCTCAGTTCAATTATGATGCGAAAAAATTAATTAAGAATTATATTGACATATATTGAAGAATAGAAGATTCTTCAAGAATTCTCTTGTGCTGCTTATTCTCATGATATACCAGTTAAGGTTGGGATTGAATCCCTTGATTTCTGGAACGAATAAAAGGTGATAAATATATGGGCCCAGTCACCTGCCATGTGGACCGTTTACTAATATATGATTTTTAATAGATGCATCTATTCTATGGTCACATGTGCATTTGTTATCAACTTGCAGTTTGACTTTTGCAAGATTGCTTGCTCAAATTATTAGAGCACAGTTCCAGAATATAAATTATGATGATTTATCTTGATAATACTGGTTTAAATCCAAGTTGATTTAGCAGAAATTGTATGCCTCCAATTATAGCTAAATCATTGGTTATGAGAACAAAACTCCCAAAAATGAAATTTGATATGAGATTTATTATTTAATATACAACAACACTTGTACGCATCTAGCCAAGTTATAAAAATTTCTCCCTATCATAATCGGTTCAGGGTCAGGAACAAAATAATTTCTATACAGAAATATGGATGTGCTATATGAATTAATTATGCCACCAAAATGCACAAAGATGAGTTCCCAAANTAAGAGGCGTATTTCTAAATATGTGTACTCTTTTTCCTACATTAGGATTTTTTTCCCATAGGATTTTTTCCTAATAAGGTTTTAACAAGGCACATTATTTATGGACATCCAAGGGGGAGTGTTAAGATAAAAATCAAAATATGGTGGATGTCTACTCTTCCTCCATGATCTTTCTCTCAAATGGTTAATGACATATTCAATGACATATTCCATGACATATTTTCTTCATTTTTCATGCCTATATAAAGGCCTTGTAATAGATAGGAAAATACACACAATTGAAGAAGAACTCTATTTCTTGTTCATGTTTTACTAAATTGCTTTTATTTCTTGTTCATGTTTTACTAAATTGCTTTTATTTCATAACAAAGATTACTTTATATTTTTGTCCACATATATACGTCCACTAATCTTTTATTGTCCACTTTAGGGGTGTGCATTCGATTTATCGATTCGATTTTGACCCTTATCGATAATTATTTATCGATTATCGATTTGTACATATGCTTATCGTTATCGTTTCAATAAGGTTTCGATTTTTTCGATTTCGATTTATCAATTTTTGGGGCTTATCGATTCGGTTATCGATTACACCAATAAGAAAATTTACGGGATTCCACAGAAAGTATATCGCTACAAACACACCTAACTAATATGGACAAAAGGAAGCTAAAATAAGAAGAACACCGTTTATAACATAAAAATTGTGTCAACAAGCACATGCAACAAAACTAAAGTAAGGGATCAAATGTATGCCACCAACACTCCAACGGTATAAACAAACAAAAAATCAAAATACATCATCACGGCTAATTCTATTTTCCATTAATTTGAACTTCATTCCCTTGAGCTTTAAATATGATCATTCCTTAAATGTGGTAGAGGAAATAATAGGGTTAGAGACTTAGGGTAAAAGAAAGGGTATTATAGAATAAGGGTAAAAAAAATTAAAAATAAATTTTACTGTAGCTTATCGGTTTATTGATAAATCGATAATCGAAGAGGACAAAATCGAAATCGATATCGATAAGGAAAATTTTGAAATCGAAATCGAAATCGAAATGGATAAATCGATAAATCGAAATCGATAAACCGATAACAAATAATCGATTCGATTTATGGATAAACTGATTTGAATGCACACCCCTAGTCCACCTAACCTAAGTTAGGCAAAGACTATTGTCTCTTTCTTTAGTGCTCTTTCGACCTTAAATATAACTTCTTTTTGACAATTCAAATTTATTATAATATATTTAGTTACAACAACAAAAAGCCCACTATATTTTTAATAGATGGGGTCTGGGGAAAGTAATTTTGTACATAGACCTAGAAAAGCTATTTCCGATAAATCCTCGACTTAAAAAGGACGAGAAGGAGGAGGAGGAGGAGGAAAGCAAGAAAGGAAGATTGAAGTAAAAGAGGGAGATAAAGGATAAGTAGTACCAAATAATACAATAGGGAATACAATACCTAAGGCGAATAAAACCACACAACGCAATAAAAATCTAAGAATATGAACGGACAATCATGCTACTAAGATTATCGGTTAGCAACTAAGAAACTACCTAATAACCTTGTACCCTAATCTTCGATCTCCACACCCTCCTATCAAGGGTCATGTCCTTAGTGAGTTGAGGTCATGTCCTGCCTAATCACCTCTCCCCAGTACTTCTTAGGCCTATCTTGACCTCTTCTCAAACTCGCCATCGCCATCCTCTCACACCTTCTAACAGGAGCATAAATGCTTCTCCTGTTAACATGTCCGAACCATCTCAGCCTCGACTTTCACATCTTGTCTTCCACGGAGGCTACTCCCACTCAGTCCCAGATAACTTCATTCTTAATCTTATCTCTCCTAGTACACCCACACATCGATCTCAACATCTTCATCTCTGCTACTTTCATCTTCTGTACGTGGGAGTTCTTAACTAGCGAACACTCAACCCTATACATCATAGTCGGTCGAATCGCCACTATATAAAACTTACCCTTAAGTCTCGGTGGCACATCCTTATCACATAAAACACCGGAAGCGAGCCTCTATTTCATCCGTCCTGCTTTGATGCAATATGTGACATCTTCGTCATCTCCCTGTTACCTTGGATAATAAACTCGAGATACTTAAAACTAGCTCTCTTGAGGATAACTTGAGCATCAAGCTTTACCTATACGTTTGTTTCATGGGTCCCATTACTAAATTTGCACTCCAAGTATTCTATTTTGGTTCTGCTCAACTTGAAGCCTTTAGACTCCAATGTCTGTCTCCAAACCTCCAACCTCGCGTTAACTCCGCTTCGCGTCTCCTCAATCAATACCATATTATTGACAAATAACATGCACAAGGAACCTCCCCTTAGATCTGTTGCGACAGTACATCCATTCCCAAGGCAAATAAAAAGGGGATAAGAGCCGATCCCTGGTGCAATCCCATTATAATAGGGAAATGCTCCGAGTCACCTCCCACAATCCTCGCCCGAGTCTTAGCAACATCATACATATCCTTAATCACCCTAATTTACGCTACCGGAACGCCTCTAGCCTCCAAACACCTCCATAAAACCTCCGTCGGAAATTTATCGTACGCTTTCTCAAGATCAATGAACACTATATGCCAGTCCTTCTTCCTCTCCCCGTATTGCTCCACTAATCTCCTTACCAGATGAATTCTTCCGTAGTTGAACGCTCCGACATGAATCCAAACCGATTCTCAAAAATAGACACGCAACCTTCATAGTGTGATTCAACAACTTGATACCTCTATAATTGTTGCAATTTTGGATATCATCATTTTTCTTGTACAAGGGAATTGTCGTACTCCACCTCCGTTCTTCGAGCATCTTTTTCGTCTTGAAAATAATATTAAATAGTCCAATGAGCCACTCCAAGCCTACCCGCGCTCTTCCAGAATTATAATAAATTTAGTTAAAATTCATTTATTACTTTCTAAATCTACCTTTATTGCTTTAATAGTAGATATAAATTATTTCTTTTTGTCTCAAACATTAGTCGCTTTAGCATACTGAATTTATTTCATATATATATATATATATANCTCTCATTTGTATCTTTAATTTAGGTCCATTAATAGTATGGTACTTTTTAGTGAACAATGAAAAAATTTCATTAAAGTTAACACAATTTTTTCTCCTTTAAAGTTGAAGCTTCTCTCTCTTTCATTCCATTTTCCAAGCTCATAAAATTCTTGTAAGTTGGTAAGTTTATATCTTTCCACTTGAATTTTCTTTCTTTGGTCTTAATTAGATTTGAAACTTAACTTCAAATTCAACTTTCTTGGAAACCAGTTGTGACTTTGTAGTATCTTCCTTAAGTTTTTCCATTAATACAAAAACATGTACATATATCATATATGTGTGTGTTAAGTTGTTAAGGGGGTCTTGTTTGGGGTGGGGGTGGGGGGAGATGTTCATTAAATGTATTTTAAGAAAATCTGAATTGTATTTAATATTGTGAATTTACCATTTTCAGTAGAGGGGAGTGGAAACCATTTTCTTGGTTGAGTTAGCTATTAGTATGGCAGAGAAAGAAGTTCCATATTCAGATAATGGAAAAATCCCACTCTGCATTTTCTTTAGGGAAGCAAGGTATTTCTAAGTCTTTTCCTTGTTCATATTTGTGATCATCATTTAAAGAATATGTACACACTATTAGAAGGGGAGCTTTGTTGTTGTCATATGACCAAGGGGTCACAGATTCAAGCCGTGGAAACGGCCTCTTGCAGAAATACAGGTAAGACTGCATACAATAAACCTTGTGGTCCGGCTCTTTCCAGACCCTGCACATAGTGAGAGCTTAGTGCACCGGGCTGACTTTTATTAGCCTATTTTTATACGTTTTTACATGTTGTAGGTAATTTATTTTATTTTTCAGGTTACTAATTCAGTTTTTAAGGATGATTACGTGTAGTTATCTTTTAGGTGATCTGATAGTTATACTCAATTACTTCCTTGAAAATCTATTATATCAAGTTTTCTTTTATATTATGCACTTGTTCATTCCTTTCACATAGCCCTATATAAAAGGGCAGCCCGATGCGCTAAGCTCTCACTATGCGCAGGGTCCGAGGAAGGGCCGAACCACAATGGTCTATTGTACGCAGCCATACCTTGCATTTCTGCAAGAGGTTGTTTCCACGGCTCGAACCCGTGGCATCCCCTCACATGGCAACAACTTTATATGCTATATGCTAATACTAGTTTAACATTCTAAGAAACTTTTGATGTTTTTGAAATGTTGAGATTTTCACAAGTTAGTAGTAGTAATATATTTCTCTTTTATTAATTGTGTGGCATGAGCAGATCAGTATTTAAATTGGATGAGCTAGGCCAAGAGATTGCAAGAATTGCCATTCCTGCTGCACTAGCTTTAACAGCAGATCCTATTGCATCTCTTGTTGATACAGCATTCATTGGCCAAATAGGTCCCATTGAGCTTGCTGCTGTGGGAGTTTCGATTGCTGTTTTTAATCAAGCATCGAGGATTGCAATATTCCCACTTGTTAGTGTCACTACATCTATGGTTGCTGAGGAGGATACCATCACAAAAGTAAGCCCTGAACCACGAGACACTGAAAGCCAGGATCTACAATCACAAGAAGCCGAAGGATTGGATACGGAGTTCCAATCAAACAGTGAAAACAAAGAGCTCATACCTCAAAGTAGTAAGTAGGAAATCCATGTTCAACATGTTTTTTTTTCACATCATGTAGAAAAGTTTACATGTAAGTTCCTTCCGCTTCGTGATAATGATATTCACTTCCATTTTATCAATTGATTTTGTAGGGAGTATGTACAAGTTCGAAATGATAGCTACCACCTTTGAAGTTTTGAAGCGAAAGCCGGAAAAGAGGCACATTCCTTCTGCATCGTCTGCATTGATCATCGGTGCCATCCTTGGCCTCATCCAAGCAGTTTTTTTAATTTCCGGAGCAAAGCCTATATTAAACTTCATGGGAGTCAAATCTGTGAGTAAACTTCTTAATAAAGTCGCAAAAGACACGAAATTCTCTCAAATGATTCGCAAAATTTTACCCCTTTCCAATCTTATGTCTACTTTTTCTTTTTGTTTTTTGGGCCGAGGAAGGGATCATACAGTTGGCCAGTATTTACTGCCAGTAATCAAGACACAAATTTGAACGATTCTATCTTTAAGGTTCTTAGCTCTAAATTCATCTTGAAATAGGATCTTTACATAAATAGCAGGCCGGATTCATTGTTTAGTTTTCCCAACCAGTATACACAGATTATGTATGGTTATACACATATTTTACATCCACCAGTTATTTTTAGTTTTAAGCGGTTGAGTGAGCGGCTATTTATTAATTCTTCTATTGAAATTACATATTCAACATTTACTACTATATATTTTCGATCTTTCACATATATCTATCCGTGTCAAAAATACTAGGATTAGTTGAACTTGTTGAATATATGCTCCATCCGCCTCTGTTTACTCCTCTCATATTATAGGGATCACCTGTGTTAAAACCTGCCCAAGAGTACCTGAAATTGAGGTCACTTGGTGCACCGGCAGTTCTTCTCTCATTGGCGATGCAAGGAGTTTTTCGAGGATTTAAAGATACACAAACTCCACTTTTTGCAACTGGTGAGCAACTAAGAAATTGAATCAAGTTTCCACAGATGGATGAAGTTCAAAATTCAGTTAACAAAGATTTACTTCTGTTTGAAACTTAGTACGTAAAATCTAATTTAATTTCTGTGTTATCATCAGTGGCTGGAGATTTGACAAATATAATTTTGGACCCTATATTCATTTTTGTATTCCATATGGGCATCAGAGGTGCTGCGATTGCTCATGTAATTTCACAGTGAGTAGATTATCATGTCTCCCAAAAGACAAAAATTGTGAGAGAACAGTTCTCAAATATATCATTGCTTTACAGAAAAGTATTTTGGTATATGTTAAGATGTAGATTCTTATGTATATGACTTCGTCGTGCAGGTACCTAATTTCAGTAATACTTTTTTGGAGATTGATGGAACAAGTGGATCTTTTACCTCCTAGTCTAAAGTATCTGCAATTTGCTCGATTTCTTACAAATGGTGAGCTTCTCTCTGATGTTGTTAATGTTTACTACAGATAGATATACAACAAAAAATGTTGTAATGAGGCTTAAGAAATTCGTAAGTTAGAATATTATAGTTTCGGGATAAGTAGGCCATTTCCCTTTTATCAGCTTATTTGTTTTCTGATTACTTTTTACAATGATTTTGCAGTTATCTGAACTTTGAAATCATACTGAAAATCTTGTAAATGTTAAGCTATATGCTGAAGTTTTTGGTTCATAAAAAATAGTGATTTCAGTTTGCAGAATCTTTTTTAACAAGAAATTTGAGCTATTTCTATATTGCATGAACTTCACATTTGGTCTGTCTCATCTTGCATTTGTGGTCCTATGTAATAGCATCTTGTTTCTTTGGCATTTGCGATAGGAAGTTGAATGGAGATAGTAGACGGGAAGCTTCTACAGTAGCAAATTATTGGCAAATGCATTGTTTTTATGTTGTTTGAATCACTGTTAGTATTTGTTTTCTGATGAATGTTAAACACAAATCATCGAAGAACACATGATCTATGCGAAACAAACGTGAACTTAATCTGAGATATCATAGTTTTGAACTTTCTACTTTCTTTTTCTCTTTTAGTCCAGATTTTGTTCTGTTTTTAGATCTTCTAATAAAAGATGGTTTCTAATGTTTCATTATAAAGATGAATTAGTTCACTAAGTGTATTTTTTCTTCATTTCATTCTCTTTTTTTGGGGAATTTCAGGATTTCTATTGTTAATGAGGGTGATAGCAGTTACGTTCTGCGTAACATTAGCTGCATCATTGGCCGCAAGGTTAGGACCAACGGAAATGGCTGCATTTCAGGTCTGCTTGCAGGTTTGGTTGGCTACATCTCTTTTAGCTGATGGGTTGGCTGTTGCGGGTCAGGTGATACAAATCTTCCTTTCGTTTGCTGAAAGCCAGTTTCTATCAACTGTCTCAAATAATAAAACAGCCAGATGCTACGAAAAAATCTATTCCAAATACTTAAGTAATAAAGTGGAAGAATGTCTATCCTAAAATGTTTCTATACCGTATTGTCCTTGAATTCCTGCTGTACTGAAGAAAGATCGCAATTATTCCCTCTCAAAATAACCTGTCACTATGTGCGCACCTATAGTTGTTGCTACATCAACAAGGTTTTCGCTACTAGAGTGTCATTTCTCGAAGCGAGTTAGCACCTTACATTGTTGTTCGCTATAATGCAGCAAATTATTCACTTTCGAAGCCCAAATGTGAATCAGTAATTAGTACCGCTATAATGCAGCAAATTATTCACTTTCGAAGCCCAAATGTGAATCAGTAATTAGTACCGCTATAATGCAGCAAATTATTCACTTTCGAAGCCCAAATGTGAATCAGTAATTAGTACCACTAGCTTCAAACGTAGATTTCTAATATTAATCTTTTCTGCAGAAACAATGTATTATATTTCTTAATTTGTGTATCTCTGATGCAGTCTGTAAAAAAAAATGGCAACCCGGTGCACTAAGCTCCCGCTATGCACGGGGTCCATGGAAGGGCCGGACCATAAAGGTCTGTTGTACGCAGTCTTACCTTGCATTTCTGCAAGAGGCTATTTCCACGGCTCGAACCGTGATCTCCTGGTTACATGGCAGCCACTTTACTAATTACGCCAAGACTCAAATGACGCAATTTGTACCGATAACTAAAATTTTAATCTTCTAGCCTGAAAAAGCATCAGCATTACGAAAATGTAAACAAAATTCGGAATTCTGACCTTTCTTTTATCATATCAGGCGATACTAGCAAGTGCGTTTGCTCAGAAGGACTTCGGTAGAGCTACTGCTACAGCATCAAGAGTATTACAGGTAATTAGGTTGTTCCGTAGTAGATCTGAACATATCCTTGATTTCAGTAATGTAACTATTTTTTTACCATAGAATTCTTGAAAATTGCAGTTGGGATTAGTTTTAGGATTGGTGCTAGCTCTCATCCTTGGAGTTGGTTTACACTTTGGAGCTAGATTATTTACAAATGACATCAATGTCATCCACCTAATTGGCATTGGCATACCGGTATTCGCCATATCCTAATATACTTGACAATACACTTTAACTACCTTTTCAAACAAGCTATGTATTTGGAACTCACAACTTATTTATTTCAGTTTGTCGCAACAACTCAACCAATCAATGCCCTGGCCTTTGTCTTTGATGGTGTAAACTTTGGCGCATCTGACTTTGCATATTCTGCTTACTCGATGGTAATTAGCTCACATGACATTCCTTTTTTCTTCTACCGACAACACAAAGCAAACATGTTATCCTCAAGTGGTGCAAAAGTTTTTAACAAAGAAAAATCACTATAAATCTTTAACTATATTATGGTAAAGATCGCAGTGAGGAGCCCTGGCGTAACTGGTAAAGTTGCTGCCATGTGACGGTTATGGGTTCGAGCCGTGGAGACAGTCTCTTGCAGAAATGCAGGATAAGGCTGCGTACAATAGAACTTTATTGACCGGCCCTTCCCCGGACCCCACGGGTAGCGGGAGCTTAGTGCACCAGGCCACCCCTTTATTGTAGTTTTGGAATGTTACCTCAATAGCACTTTGGTTAAAACTGTTTCCGCCAGTCGATGCTTACATCAAAATCCACCCTCTCCCTCCCCTCAAGACCCCCAAAATCCTAATGCGAGTGGAAAAACATCCTTATGAACAGAGATATCTTCCTTGATTATGATCCGAAGACAATGTCAGTATATATATTTTCCTTTTTCATTAATTAGTAAATATTTAGCCCATTTTCCTTTTTCATTAATTAGTAAATATTTACAAAAGAGAATGCTATTTATGTTCAGGTTGCAGTGGCTATATTCAGCATTGTATTCTTGTTCGTTCTTTCATCAAGTTATAAATTCGTCGGAATTTGGGTCGCTTTGACCGTCTATATGAGCCTAAGAGCTTTTGCAGGTTTCTGGAGGTATGGTTAATTGTTAATGTACTCTAAATAAAGTACATTTGAGTAAAAGCACTTAAAAGGATAAGCAAATAATCTATTTGTTTTCTACTTCGCATTTACAGGATAGGAACTGGAACAGGTCCCTGGAAATTCCTCAAGAGCTAAAGTCTTATTCCTACATAGCATATTGTACATAACTGAAGCAACTGCACTTCTGCCTTAAAGTAATCAGTGTTTTTGATGATTTGCATGCAGTAATATCCATGACTACTCCATTCATGCTCTCACAATGTGATGACCCAAGAGGTCATCTTATGATTTAAAATTAAATTCTGTGTTCAAAAGTCCTAAGAATCTCATTTTTACCCTTCTCGATTTGCATGCGCAGTCCGGGTATGTTTCCAGAAAGTTTTTATGGTAAAAGTTAATGAAAATAATAATTTTTGCCTAAAAGTTGATTTTAGTTGACTTCGATCGATATTTTTGGTAAACGGATCTGGACTCGTATTTTGACAGTCCCGGTGAGTCCGTAATAAAATATGGGACATGGCGTATGTCCAGAATCGAATTCCGAGGTTCCTAGCTCAAGATATAAATTTTTGTTGAAAATTGAAAAGCTGAAAATCTAATGGTTTTAAGAATTTGGTTAATATTTGATCTAGTTGGTATCGGGTCCGTATCTTGGTTTCGAAGCCTGGTATAGGTTTATTATGATATTTAAGACTTGTTTGTGAAATTTGGTGAGAAACATAGTTGGTTTGATGTGATTCGGACGTCCGGTTGTGAAGTTAGAAGTTCTAAATTTTCTTAAAAATTTTCATTTGATTTGGTGCTAAATTCGTAGTTATAGATGTTATTTTGACGATTTGATCGCGCGAGCAAGTTCATATGATGTTTTAAGACTTGTGTGTATGTTTGGTTTGGAGCCCTGAGGGCTCGGGTAAGTTTCGGATGGGCTACAGAGTGATTTGAACCTTAGAAAGATTGCTGGATTCTTCAGCTGTGTTGCAGGACCTAGACCTCGCAAATGCGAGGTCAAGCTTCGCATTTGCGACTACTGTTGAGGTTGCATTTGTGAGCTTCTCATCACAAATGCGAAGAGAAGCTGGGCTAGCATATGTTCGCAAATGCGAACAATACTTCGCATTTGCGATGGGATAGGGGGAAGGTAGACTTTGCAATTATGAAGACTAGATCGCAATTGCGATCATTTTAGTCGCAGTTGCGAACAACTGTTCGCAATTGCGAAGGCAACAGAAATGTGGGGAGTTCGCATTTGCGCGTCTCGCATTTGCGATGCGACATCTGTAGTTGTGTAAAAAGGGACTTAGACGTGATTTTTTATTTATTCTCCAATTTTCAAAACCTAAAACACAAAGGCGATTTTCCAAAGACTTCTTCTTTCACAAATCATAAGTAAGTGATTCTTAACTAGTTTTTTTTTTCAATCTTTCACTTAATTTTATAAGATTTCAACCTAGAATCTAAGGTTTTTATAGTGGAATGCGGATTTTATGGGTAGAAGCTAGGGATTTCGAAATTTAGGGATTTAGACCTCAAACTGAGGTCGGATTCCAAAACCAATTGTATATCCGGGATCAGGGGTGAATGGGTAAACGGGTTTTGGTCCGAATTTCGGATTTGGACCAAGTAGGTGCGGGTGTTGACTTTTTAAAAAATGGCCTAAATTGAATTCTTATCGATCGTGGGTTATTCCTAAGGCTTATTTTGAAATCTTTAGTTGGTAATTTGCTAGATATTGTTGGTTCGGAGGCGTGTTTGAAAGGCAAAGCTGTGATTGAGATTTGAGTGGCCTTTGGAGCGAGGTAAGTGTTGTGTCTAACCTTGACTTGAGGAAATTAGGAACCCTCGGACTATATATTATGTGAATTTCATGTGAGCGGCGTATATGCAAGGTGACGAGTGCTTATACGCCGCCGAATTATTTGTTTTCCCATGATTTTCTGCTTTACTTTAACTGTTTCTTTCCATGTTTTATTTGTTACATGCTCTAAATGCTGTCCATGCTCATCTGCTATATGCTAATCAATATCTTCTTCTGTTAACCATGCTACTTCTTTCATAGTTTCCCTTAATCCCTGCTATTTATTTAATTTGACTTGTTTGCACTTTATAACTGTAAATTGTTGGTTTGGTCTCGTTGTGTAGTGTTATTTTCGTGTAGACTCTATGTTGAACGAGGTTTCTTTTCTTGGTTCAGTTTGGTATTTATTTATCGTAAAGGTCTTGTGATTTCGATTGCTGAATTAACTGTGTACATTTATTATTTATTGATTTGGAGGAATAAGGGAGAATATATTATACGGTGGTATCGGGTTGCACGCCGCAAATACATATATTGATATTGATATGGAGGAATAAGGGAGAATATATATATATATACACGGTGGGATCGGGCTGCACGCCGCAATAGGTGAAATAAGGGTGGATTGATATTGTGAAATAAAGGTGAATATATATTATACGGTGGGATCGGGTTGCACACCGCAACATATATATATTATTTATTGATATTGTTACGGAGGAATAAGGGAGGATTATGTGTTGTCTGGTGGGATCGGGTTGCACGCTGCAACAACTTATATATTTACATTTCTTGAGCTGCATTGTTTATTTATTTTTCCGGTACTTCTATTTGAGCTGGCAAAGGTTGGTAAATCTGGACAATACTGGTTTATTTCGAGGCCGTGGTTATCATTTCCTGTTGGCTGTTAATTTATGACTTTATTTCAATTATTCTGTCATTATTATATAATGCGTACATGTTTTAGGGTAGGTTAGGCTCGGCACTTACCAGTACATGGGTCGGTTGTAATGATACTGCACTCTGCACATTGTACAGATTTTGGGGACGGTCCCACCGGCGAATATTAGAGAGCCTTGATCGGACAGCTTACAGAGACTTGAGGTACAACTGCTTAACGTTCGTAGCTCCTGAAGTCCCCTTCTTGTTTTTACTTAGTTGTGTATCTTCTTTTCGAACAACTTTATGTTATTTCAGACCTTTGTATGCAGTATTCTAGTAGTTCGTGCACTTGTGACACCAGATTCGGGGATTGTTATAGACGTTTGGCAGTTTTATCTTCCACATCGTTATTTTAGTTATTCTAGTTGCCTTTTGTTATCACTTAAGCTGTTAAAAGAATTATATTATTCTAACGTTGGCTTACCTAGCAAGTGAAATATAAGGCGCAACCACAATCCCGACGCTGGAAATTCCGGGTCATGATAAGTTGGTATTAGAGCACTAGGTTGCATAGATCTCACGAGTCACGAGCAAACTTTGTAGAGTCTGGTAGATCAGTACGGAGACGTCTGTACTTATCTTCCGGAGGCTAAAGAGTTAGGAACAATTTCACTTCTATTCTTCTATGTCGTGCGATTTTATTCTATCATAGCTGATTGAACTTTTCTATTTTGTTCTCTCGCGGATGGCGAGAACGCGTACCGTATCTTCAGCCTCGAACACGAGCAACAACACTAGCGGTGGAGCCTCAGGTAGAGTTTGATAAGAAGGTTCCAGCCCAGACTGTGCCTATCCGGCCAGCTCAGGTTCTGGAGGGGTTCATCGCCACCCAGTGCTTCAGGATGCTTTGGTCTATCTAGTGGGCCTTATAGAGAGCGTTGCTCAGACCAGTACATTTCCTGTGGCACCAACCGTCTCTCACGCTAGGGGAGGAGTCCAGACTCCCGCTACTCACACTCCGGAACAGATGGTTCCCCAGTTTCAGACTCCAGCAGCCCAGCCAGTTGGGGTAGTTTCGCCGGGTGTTCCAGCATAGACCGGTGATGGATCAGCTATGTCTTCTGAGACTTTGTGGAGATTGGATAGGTTTACCAAGCTTTTCCTAGTTTACTTCAGCGGTGCATCTTCAGAGGATCCCCAAGACTATTTGGACAACTGCCATGAGATTATTTGGAACATGGGGATAGTAGAAACCAATGGGGTCGACTTTGCTGCATTTCATTTGTCAGGTTCCGCCAAGAGATGGTAGAGGGATTATATTTTGACCAGGCCAGTGGGATCGCCTGCTCTTACTTGGGACCCGTTCTTCCATTTGTTTCTTGAGAAGTTCCTTCTTATCACTTAGAGGGAGAGCAACCAGAGGCAGTTCGAGCGTCTTCAGTAGGGCTCAATGACCGTCACTGAGTATGAGATCCGATTTGTGGATTTGGCCAGTCATGATATTCTTATGCTTTCTAGAGAGAGAGAGAAAGAGTGTGGGGAGGTTTATTGAGGGACTTGCTCAACCTATCAGATTGCAGATAGCTAAGGATACAGGGAGTGAGATTTTCTTTCAGGCGGATGCTAATGTCGCCAGGCGTATCGAGGATGTTCTTTCACTGGGAAGGAATCAGGGGTCTGACAAGAGACCTCGTCATTCATGTGGTTTCAGTGGTGCCTCATTTGGAGGCAGGGATACTTTCGGCATAGGTCATCCTCCCAGGCCATATCGTTCAGCGCTTCAGGTGTCCCACAGTGCTTAAGGGGGTTGTGGTCATTATGTGCCTCATTCTGGACAGAGTGCACCGCCAGCTCCTATCAGTGCGCCTCCTATTTAGAGTTGTTATCATGTTCATCCGGCCCATTCGGGCCAGTCTCTATTTCAGCAGCCACAGTACCAGGATGCGTATTTTGATTGTGGAGATTATGGGCATATTAGGAGGACTTGTCCGAGATTATTGGGCGGCACGTCACAACAGGGTTCTCGTGCCATAATTCCGGCACCGGTTGCACCACCACCCGTTCAGTCCACTAGAGGTAGAGGTCATGCCGTTAGAGGTGGAGGTCAGGCCGCTAGAGGTGGAGGCCAGCCAGCAGGAGGCCGTCTTAGAGATATGATTCAGAGTGGTGGGGCCCAGCCCTGATGCTATGCCTTTCTAGCCAGGCCTGAGGCTGAGTCATCCGATGATGTTATCACAAGTACTGTTTCAGTTTGCAGTACAAATGCTTCAGTTCTATTTGATCCGAGATCTATTTATTCATATGTATCGTCCTATTTTTCTTTGTATCTGGTTGTGCCTCTGATCGGGTCCAACCCTACACCACTATATAGTGGCGAGAGCAGTCGACGCAGCTTTTACCCGAGAAGGTCGGGATCGAATCCACATGGAGCTACAATAATGTTTGGAGTTGGATTTCTATCTAATCTAGCAGTGTATAGTGATCTTGATTACACTTCTAATCATATTTGTTTGTTTGTTACTTCTAATTTTATACTAATGATGTGCTAAACTGAGCTAAGTATAAATGTTTGTAAGGTTTTCTAAATGGTTAAAGAGGACTAGGGAAGTGACTTTCCCCTAGGTGAATACTTGACGGGTTC